CGCCCCTCCTGTATGTGCCATTTGCCCCTTGCTTGCCCCCAATCTACATGTGCGAAGCCATGTATAATTGGCCGATTCCTTTCCTGCAGCAGCTCGCCACCAGCCACGAAGTGGTGATTTTTGACAACCCTGGCGTTGGCAACTCCACGGCAAAGGTCGCCAACATCACCATCCCCTACATGGCCGATGCAACGCTGGGACTTATCAAGGCGCTGTCGCTGTCCGCGCCTGTCGTGCTTGGTGCGTGGTGGTCATGGGTAACAGGCGCTTGGAGCCCAGTGGCGCTTGCTCAACTGCCGTTGCCTGCGTGCCCCTCATCTGTATGGACATATCATTGCAAAGCTTACAGACACGCATACTTACACCCTCTGCTCAGGCTACTCGATGGGAGGCACGATTGCGGCGACCGCAGCGGTGACCAAAGGCAGCAGCCTCTCACACATTGTCATGTTGTCCTCTACTGCTGGTGGGGCAGCGACTTGGTTTGACCCGATCACAAATGGCAGCATCCTGAGCTTCCCAATTCTGGGCAAAAGGGTAAGTCTTGTGAATAGCCACAATGCTGTAAAGCGTGACGTAGCGTCACGCAAGCAGAGCGTGGTAGGCGTAGTGCACGCTCGTGTCTCCCAAGCGGGCAAGCGGCGGCTGATTAATCACTGATCTATCCCCTGCATCTCTACGCAGAATCCCAATGCGTTCGTTGACCTTATCTATCCAGCTGGCAAGGATGATAAGGCGCTGTGCGAGAACCTTGCTGCAAGTGCCGCGTTTGCCAAGGCTGGTCTGCACATCGCGGCCATTTCGCCCAAGGTGAGTGTCTTACCAACACTATTTGCGTATAAATGGCAGGAATGCTGCAATCACAACAATGGGTAAAAAAAGTGGTGTAGCCTGGGATCCCGCCTCAATCCCCTGCGGGCCTGTCGCGTCCCATGTGCCTCGTGCTTCCTGCGCCCACGTGCCCACCCGCCCACTGCGTGCATGCATGCATCGGTCCGTTGCTAGACTCTGGACCAGCAGCTGATTGCCCTGGACAACTACTTCCGTGGGCCAACCGCTGCCTACCCCAAACTTCGTGGGGTCAGCAACAAGTTCATGTACGTGCACGGCAGTCTGGACCATGCGTTGCCCGTCCGGAATGCATACCTCAGCGCAGCACAGACGCCTGCGGCTGATGTCGTTGTCGTCGATGGCGCTGGGCACGCAGTGCAAGACCGTGATCCCATCGGCACAGCCAAGTGAGCAGGGGAGGATGCAAGCGAGGGAGGTTGCCCTGCTTGGCTATAGCAAAAACCTGCTACCAGCTAAAATCCCCCCTTGACATCTCTGAACAGGCCAGCTGCTGCTAGACCCTGCGCTGCGGTGTATGGAATGCGTGGCCTGCACACGGCCAGCCGGCAATGGACCTAACAGCGCAATCACCTTGCAAAAGCTTATCCGCATCTGCTCACTGTGTCACGCCCTGCCCTGCTCACAGTCTGGTTTTGGACTTCATCAAGCGTGCTCCGGCCAAAGTGGACAAGCGCGTTCAGAAAGGGCAGTTTGGTGGTGTCGCGTATGGCAGCAAGGCGTAAAGGCGGCAACGCGGCTATGCAAAGAGGCAGCTATCATAGCACGCCTTCTTGCACGTGTAACATCATCGTGGCTAAATTAGTGTACACCCATAAAGGTGTGTTGCTCTGCCAAGCCTGCACAGGGGTTCGGGTTCGGGAGACACACGCGCAGCCGCTGGGACGAGGAAGGCCAGGCAAAATCGTGCCTCATGAGGGGGTCGAACCCACGACCTTCTGATTAGAAGTCAGACGCTATATCCACTTAGCTAATGAGGCAGCGTCAATTTCACACTTTTGTGCATATATAGACCCCGATAAGTCTCGGGTTTAGCTTGTCCTAGACGCAAAGCAAGCATAGCAAAGACGATTGCAACAAAGCAAAGCGAAAGCAAAGACTCTGAAGCAAGAACTATAGCTGTGACGCGGCACAGTGAGCAAACTGATCGAAAGGGGCATACTTTGTTTATTTTGGCCAAGCGTTGCCTGTACATTGCGGTCGGCACTGCCGTCACTCAGTGGGCTACTTCGTGGTGACTCCTTAGTGCCTTCACTCATGGTTGGTGTTGAAGGCGGGAGGAATCGCGCTCAGGCAGGACGATTGTAACCCAGAAAAGCAACCCAAAACAGGGGGTTGGTTGCGTGTCATTCACTATCTCCGTGCCATCTCCCTTCTTCGCTTTGGTGCTTGCTCTGCTTGCACGCCACACCCGCTCATGCACAAACCCGCCACCCCTGCTGCTGCCGTGGGCGGCGCAGGAGTGAGCCGGTGCGTCAGACCCTGCAAATAAAGTCACGCCCTCGCCATCACGGCGCGCCAACGGGGGGCGTGGGTGTGTTCCAAGAGGGCGTGCCACCCCTGCGTGGGGCAATACATCAGAGTGATTTTCAGTGCGGAGGAGTACTTCCGCACTGAATATCCGCCGCAATTTCGGTGCGGCGCAATGCACCTCATCATCATCAAATGTGCGGGAGCATTGGCTGCACCCTCACATGCAGCTGAAGTGCTCGCAACGGACATGCGCCAGCGCCAATGGCACCTTGCAGGCAGGTGGCCTTACGGCAGCTAGCCGCTTCCTCCAGCAGCTGGCCAGCTGCAGCCCGCCATGTGTTTGACAACCAAGGTTCCGCGTCACACGAAGTGATGACACTTGAGAATAGTGGGGCAGAGTCAACCAGACACCCCTATAAACCGCCGCTGACGGCTGGAGGTGGCAGGGACACATTATTGTTTGCAATATGTGGCCTAGAAAGCGATGGGGTGTGCCCGCCTGATGATGGGAGCCATTCTCAGACCTTGGCCACATTTCGACCTTGCGGCACATCCAGCCTGGCCGCCCAGGGGCCGCTGCGGCTGCGTTGAGTGTGTTATCTGAATTTGCACACATTAAATTGATGTTATTGTGCGGTTGCATGATGTTGACTTACAGCGGTGCTTGCACATACAGAACTTGCCAAACAATTGCAAGGCCGTGCGCAAACTGGGCCATTGCTTATCATAATGCTGTTTGACAGTAAATGCGGCCGTCACCAGCCAGAGAACACAGCATGATGATGCAAAAGGCGTGACAAGTGATTCCCCACATCAGCCGCCATGCACACACCATCGAATGCACACAGTCACAGGGGTGCATCAAGCATCCGCCAGGCTTTGCGCCAACGCGTCTAGCTCCTGAAGATGATGATTGGTTGCATCATACAGAGGGGTCAATACATTCAGACTAGGAACCCAGCAAAAAGTACAATGAGAGTGTCTGCATTCCAAGGTAGGTTACTGCAAGCTGCTCAACTGAGCTGGCCAATCAGCTGAGCGGGCTGGCTCCGAGAGCCCCGGCTGTGCATCGGCTTGCTGACAGGTGCTAACCGAGGTCGGACCCGGCCTAGACCACGCAGCGGCTCACCTGAACGTTGCGCTCCAGGTACCCCAGGATCTCGGCCATGCGGTCCCTGCAAAATGTCATGTGCAGTGTGGGTAGTTGCGAGGGTCGAGCAGGGCAGAAGTTCTTGCCAACGTCCATTCTGGCACCATGCCCATTCAAGAAGGCAGTCAAAGAGCTTGCAGCCATCACCTGTGGCGTTTGGCCTCCCACTCGCTGTTGCGTTCTGCGGCCTCATTTGCTCGCCGCAGCTCAGTCGCCACCTGCACGGGGAATTCCCACCGACACGCATTCGCGCTCTTGCTGCTGTCCGCTCCCCTGACATGCCCGCGCGACAAGGGCCGCCCCTTGCACAAGAATTCGCTCAGAGTCTGCGCGGCGGCGGAGCGCATGCGCCTGACAAACAGTTGCTGGAGATTCTGATCCTGCACGTATCCAGCATAGCACAGGACACAGCAGGCCGCACCAGCTTGTCCTCCAGCCCGTCGATCCTGGCCACCCTGGCGTCGTGGGACGCCTGCGATTTCAGAGGAGGTGGGCCCCGACGGGCAGCAGCAGCCGCAGCAGGGGTGCAATTTGCAGGTGTGAGCTGGGCTGGCAGTCACGCGGGAGCAGAGCCCTGCAGGCTGCGGCAGGGCCACTAGAATGGGGCTGATTGGCTAGCGTGGTGCTCGGCGCACCCACCTGTATTGCGTTCAGCAAGGCGTCCTTGTCCCCCAGAAGCACCTGCCAAGGGAGGCCAGCCGTATGCAGGACACTTGTCAAGTCATGGCGGTTGCCACAGTGTTATTGAGGTGCTCACAGGCATGCGACGCTGCGGCGATCACCAATCAACACGGGAATGTCAATCAACCCCTCCGCTGAAGACATGTACCAAGGGCTAGACTGTCTCAGTTGAAATGATGCTTGCTGCCACCGGCCCACTTCCCTGCAGGACGATGAAGATGCTGGGCCCTCCCTCCCCTCTCCCACCCTTCCCCTGTATCAGCCCTTTGACAGCCCCGACACGCTGCCAACCTGCAGGGGGCCGCGCCCTCAGCAGCGCACCTGGGCCTCCTCTGGCAGGGCGTCCAGCTCCGGGCTGTCGCTGGATGCGCCGTAGCGCTCCAAGAACGACGGCGCCGCCGCCGCGAGGCCGTTGGTGAAGGCACCCTCCAGGTCACGGATCTAGGCGCGTGCGTGGGGACGTGTGGGGAATGCATGAAGGTCCAGGGGATGACGGTGCGCAGGCATATTTTTGCAAACATCCCGCTTTTCGGTGCGCATGGTCCAACCAGGCGTGTCGCGTGGGTAATGAGCGAAATGAGGGGTGCATGCTCTTGCGCCTTACGGCGTTCGCGGCTGCGCGAGCGGCACCTGGGTGAAGAAGGAGTTGTACTGCAGCTTGTTGGCCTCAGCGATCTCACTGAACGTGCGGTCAAACTCCTGCAGAGTGCGTGAGATGGGACACACGGCTCAGTCCCCCGCTGCACAGAGTTGCACATCTCCAAATTGCTGCACCTGGCGCCTTGAAAGCACGCAGCACGGCTCCCAACTCGCGGGACGCAGGGAGGCGGGACGATGGCTGCCGGACAGGCTCATTCCTTTGTGGGCCGCCTTTGCTGGCCGCCACTGTTGGCCGCCGCCCCACCTGGCACAGCTGCCCCGCCGCGTCCACTGCGTCCAGCTCCAGCTCCAGCAGCGCCTCCTGCAGCGACATCAGCCGCACCTTGGCGCCCAGCACCTGGACGGCGGCAGGGCGCGAGGGGCGGCCGCGCTGCTTGGGCCGCTGACGTGTGAAGTAGGCGCTTCCGGCCGGGGTAATGCGCTGTTGCCGAATTTGGAACAACACAGCCGGGGGCAGGGTGGGTTCGGGCCGCAGCGGCAGACAGCGACAAGACGGCCGAATGGTTTAATTGGCTGGGTCAGATCCATTTCGCATATGCAAACTCACCCGCTCCTCGGCGTCTGAGGCGCCTGCTGCTGCTGATGCCGCCACCTGCTTCCGGGCCCTCTCGTATTCTGTGATCAGCCGGCGGGCCTCGCCGTCGCGCTCGTCCAAAGCAGCCTGCGTCGCAAGCACTGGTGCTGTTACATCCATGTTCTAACTGCTGCTTGTGTCGCAGGCATCGCAGTGCAAATATCTGGTGATGAATCCACCAATTGCTTTGTGTATGGCCAACGTTGGCTGAATGCGTGCCACACTCGTCGCTAGCTGGCCGCAACGTTGAGCTGTTGCATTGCGCCTGAATCGCAGTCAAAGCTGTGCCGTGGCTGCAGGGACCGGCAGCATTGAGCTCATGTAAGCCTGCTCTACAGGCGTGCGCCTCACCAACCCCGCCCTGCCCCGCAACATCTTATACGCCGGCTCACCTGCAGCGCCGCCCTGAACTCTGCTGACTCAGCCTTCTTGCGGCCGTGGCTCTCCAAGATCATCAGCTGGGATGGGCCAACAGGAAACAGCAAAGAGAATATGCGCGGCCGAGGGGTCAACGCGCACGCTACATGCTCACCACCACCAGGGGCGGCGAACCAACGCGCCTGCGTTCTGCAAGGCCCGGCAGGGTCAAGAGCCAAGATTGCGCAGCTTGGTGCCGAGGCTGCGCGTGTCCGAACGCCCACGCATGGAAACTAAGCGGCAGGCCGCAGGCCCCGGGCCGAAATCCAATGTTGCAGGCCAGCACAGGGCGTGGCCTTGCAACTATCAGATGCCTCTCGCCTCCTGATCCGTCCAGGCGTCCGCACCTTGAACTCCTCGGTTGCCAGCCGCCACTTGTCCCTGACGTCGCTCCAGGGCTCCGTGAGGCCCGGGATGGCGGACAGCTTGGGCCACTCGGGGTCGGACGCTGCCACGTCATCCACCAGGGGCTGGGGGG